AAAGGAGTAAGAATTGAATTTGAATAAAAATAAGAATGAAATTGGAGAGTAAAATTAGCTTATGCCGAAAAGGACTCAGATTGCAGATGGAGGAAGTTAAAGTTTAAATAATGTTATTTGTATACAGATATGCACGTGCACGTGTGTGTGTGTGTGTGTGTGTGTGTGTGTGTGTGTGTGTATGTGTAATTCGAAGAATGATCAGAGTGCATAGATCTACTGCGAGTTACGCTGATGTCACATATAGTATTCTAAGTTTCAACTTTGAAAAATATTGCAATTGATAATTTTACAACTATATATATAAGTATCATTTTCTTCTGCCAAGCGTATTCAATACTCACGTTATCATTAGGTAATTGAGCGTTGTGATAACATAATTCACAAACAAAATATAAAATATCTCAAAATATAAAGTAGCTTACAATCAGGACCAGTGCGATACACATTAAAATGTATTCAATTAAATTTTCGAGCGTTTAACATTCGGCCGTTCGCTTGCCGACACTCGAACTGTTTTTAAATCCGACTCTTCAAATGCACCGCCGCACGTTTAACGCGGTCGTGCACCTCGTCAGCTCGCGGCGTGAGTTTTACTATATCCGCAATGCTGGCTACTGACGTGCAGTGGAAGTGCAGGTGACACGTGTACGGCGGCGATGGTGGCGGCGGTAGTGGTGGCGGTGGTGGTGGCTAGCCACCGCGATGCAACGTGTGTGTGCATGTCTGCGTTCCGATTCCCGTCGCGCGCACAATCGGACACCTGTGCGGTCGCACAGAAAATGACCGTAATTCGAGTCATTATTCTCATTCTGAAAAAGAAGCTTCTCTCTCTCTCTCTCTCTCTCTCTCTCTCTCACCGGCCGAGACCGTCCCGACTGTCCCGACTTCCGGTTGCGGCGAGGCTTTCCGCTCTGTTGCCCAATCGCGCACGGTACGGGACGGGATGAATTGAAGATCGAGGCTTTTTCACGAGGGCTTTCCGGGAGGATTAGATGGTTTCTGCTGACTGGGACCTGAGATCCTCGAGCGATAACGAAGGATCGAATGTATTCGGGTCGATGGGGCTAACTTTACGATAAACGGCTCGAGGTGAAACTAATAAGAAAGCTTATCATAATTTAAAAGTACATCACAAGATTCAAGAACAATATTTTCGCGTAAGTTCCGAAATATAATATTTTAATGCATAAGTTTCGAAAAATTACTTGATATTAATTTCTATTTTGTATACAATAATATCATTTTTCGGAAGAAAGTTTTTCGTATTCAAACAAAGTTATAACGTTCTAACGCTAATTGCGAAATTAAACTTTCACAACAGAAATATTTGTGAGATATTATATTTTATAAATATATGTTTTATTTCAATATTATTATTTAATTATTAAATAGTCTGAGATAACAAACGCAAGCACATTAATAAAAATTTAATTACACAAAAGATAATAAAATTTAATAACATTTAAAAAGCACTATGGCGCTTTATCAATGATTATTAAAGCGAAAGAATTCAATAGATATTCATAATATTTGTAGCAATTTTGCACTTTTCGAGCTTCTTAATAAAATGATATCTGCTCACTAAGCCCGACATCGTATCGTCCTTTCGAGAAGTTTCCAATATCCCTCGCTAATCTCGCGTGATTTTTTATCCACGCTTAAAGATTGGCTTCGCAAAGGGTTAATCACCGCTATTAACCGTAACCGTAAGCTCGAAGCTTAACCGTCGACCTGTCTCCGAACGTTGCTTCTCTTTAATGTCTCGGAAGTCTCGGCAAGACTCGGATAACGAAGGAGCGCGGTTAAGCGGCGAAAAAGCAGCTTAACCTCCTCGCTTCTCGGCCATTTATTTCTTGATGACGCCTCACCCGTAGTCGCGATCGAACGATAACTTTCGTCGTTCCGGCCGACGATAAGAAAAGACACAAAAGCGGGAACGAGATAACGCAATGTTCACAGGCGACGAACAGTTCCGAAAGGAACAGAAATCGTCGGCGCTTTTATCGACATCATCGTCATTGTACTCGTCGTTATTGTCATTGTTGCGAACACGAGATGTCTTTTCACGCGTCAAAAATTGAACTATAATAGACAAAACCCAAAGTCTTCGAACAGGTTTTTCGAGCTCTTATTCTTCTGTATTTTCACGCTGCGAATGAATCGTCTGGGTTCATAAAGAATTCAACATATCGGCAGCTCGCAACGCTCATACAAAGCGGAAGTAAAAGGAAGACATGAAGAGAAAAAGAAGAAGGTAAAACGCAAGCGTTGGATACGACGATTTCAAGCTGGCCACTGCTCGCCACGTGATCGATACTGGGAGCAGCCAAGAGGTATCGAAAGAGTCCTGGAAGCTCGGAAGGAGGCGCGATAAATCTGTTTCGGAGACCATCGAAATTCCGTCAACGTAAGGCACAAGGGGAACACACACAGAACATGGAGAGAGATGAAGACGAAGGGAGGTTGCTAAAGGAATCGAAAGTAGATAAGGATTGACTGACTCGTGTCTTCGGGGCTTTAGTGCAAAGGGCGCCATCGGACCCTTCGATCATACCGGCGCATAAAGGTCTTACGCACGCACGCATATACGCACGCACGCACTAACGCAACGTCGAGAGTCACGCGCGCGCGCGCACACATAACGCATACCACGTATAAACGAACACGTCGGACAAGCTGTGTGGAAAATGGTAGCTATTGTTACGGGTATTATTTGCCGCTAATCAGAATGGGCGGTCGACCCGAGTGCGAGGGTGTAGGTCTTTGAGGATTTTGCGTGTGTGCGTGCGTGCGTGCGTTTGCGCGGGTATGCGGTGATGTTTACACAGGGAGGGGAACGAGAGAGAGAGAGAGAGAGAGAGAGAGAGAGAGAGAGAGAGAGAACAGACTCGCGCGTGCTACGCTCTCGCGCAGCTCCAAGCTGAACGCACCGCCACTGTGAACGAGACAGCCTGATTGCAGACCCCGCTCTGTCGTTGTCGGTACCACGCCCTGACCCACGAGATTTTCAAGATACCCGGCACACGACCCACAAACCCCACACTTTATGCGGGGTCAACCAACTCAACCCCTCGTTACGGGCGCGATATCGATACAACGGCGCGGCGTAACGAAACTTTCTTACGAAGGTGACGGCACTTAAATACGAATAAGAAAATGATGATAAGGAAAGTGTTTATTGTAACTTGCATCTTGCTTAAAAAATGCACGTAACTAGATATAGAGTGTCATAATAATCACATATATACTTAAGAATATTACATGTCGAGAGTTTAACTTCAAAAAAAGTCGCAATATCGAGACAACTTCGAGTTATAAACAATTGAAAATTAAGTAACATTGGTACAAATTAAAAAATAGAATATTAGGAAATTTCCTTTACAAATGAACGAAGATAAAAGAAATTTGCATTTAATTTCGAATGGACTTTACTTTGACAGAAACGTAATTTCAAGCTCAATTACCAAGATATTTAACTTTAAAAAGTAATATTATGTCTGGAAAGATTTTTATTAAGTCTATTTTAAATCGAACAAAATTATATGTGATCAAGGAAAAAGATAAATAAACGTACGAAATCAGACATTAAAAATTAAATATTCGACAAAATTACAATGTTGTTACAACTATAAAATTGTTGTATACAATAAAACTTTATTCGTACTTCTACTCTCTTTGTTATACATATAAAATACGTGATATAATAAAGAAGAGATGAAAAACATGCGCGAAAGAAAGTGATAGAGAAAAAGCGTAAAAATAGAAACTCACCCGTGTAGAAGAAAGCGAAGCCTCGGCATTGTGTTGACGACGCTCCAGTGACTCGTAGTTTTGCCCGTAATATTTCTGTAACAACAAAATTCGCGATTAGTCCATGGATTGATCGTTACGAGCTATTGATTCGATATTTAAGCCTCTCGAATGTTTGTTCCCGGTAATATTCATTCGCAATGTATAGCTCGCGGTTGAATTATAGGAGCTAAGACCGAAAAATCCAAACTTTTCACATTTCGCTTTCGAAATCGAAGAAATCACACATCAAGTGCTGCATTTTGTATATATACTTGAACTCGAAAATATTTTGGAATTATTTCAATATATAATGCTTTAAAAAATAACAAGTGATTTTAAATACATTTCTCTTTGAATTATATAATATAAACTAGTTACAATTGTTTTATAATTAAATATTAATATCAATATTGTATAATTTATTTTATTTATTTAGTTTACAAAAATAATATTTTTGTAAAATTTATTAAAGATCTAACTGTCTATAAAAATTGTATTTCCGCTATCACATCCAGTTCTATAATTTTGATACGTATAATTTCATTATATATTTAATATTTTATTAATTAATAACAAGATGTTAGTCAAAGTATTGGTAAGTCGTTCTAAAATATAAGCGCTCCTCTGTAGACTTTAATAAGTAAATATCACGCAAAATGCATTACGATATTTCTGAGAGAGCAATGTTCGAGCGTGACACGATGGATTTTAAAAGAGACTGACAGACTGTGGATCCATATATGTACATATTAGCAGGGACGTATGTCCCGAAATACATCGCGTATTTATTCTGATGATGCATTATTTTCAAAAGTCGTAAATGCCAATCTCCGCGACGCCATGTATCATTTATATGCTTTTAATCTTCATTATGCAAAAATTGTCGCAAAAATATGTCATCAGAAGACAAATAATAATAAAAAATGAAATGTTCGATTTTTGTATACATAGGTATACGGAAAGAATATTTTTGCTAAACTTAAAAATTTAGCTAGCTACAAATTTAAAAATAATTTTATTGGATTATCAAAATAATTAGTAATGTAAGATTCTCAAGTTTGATGAGCAATGCTTGTGTTTTAATATTTTAACAATCGATTTGAGCGTTCTACATAATTATTCTGATGTTCTAACAAAATTATTTGCAGATGTGTTAAAATAAATTTGCAGATCTGTATTTAAATAAATTTTTAGATACTTCAGTAAACGTTTTTTTCCGTGTATCATAAATAAAATTCGCGTTAAAATTCAATCAATTTTGCACTGACTCATTGTCAGCACAAGTATTGCGTATCAGTGAACTTGTTCGTTATTCAATTTCATGGATAATTTCATAATATTTGGATACTCGCAATTTAATGGGTCCATCTCTGTCTCGCGAATGCACGAAATATCGTTGTGACAAGATGCGTAAGGCGATGCCATCGAGGAGAATTATTCCGAGCATCGTGAGCGATATCGAGGAGACGATGGAATTTCCGTCGGCCGGAATTCTTGCTTCAGCCGAGGAATTTCCGGGCTAAAGAAATCGGGAAGTCAGCATACGGCGCGGCGCGCGGCGGCGGCGGAATGATCCATACATTCCGTCAAATCGACGGAAGTCGTTTCCGAACTGTTAACGGGAGTTCGAAATAGTTGGACGAAGAAACCGACAAAACTGACACCCACCCGTGAGCGGTATTTGCAGGCGGAATCGCGTTGCGGCTCGACTGACCGCGGCTTCTCCGGAAGTGCCGTATCTCCAAGGCGTGTACATACATACATATACCGCGAGGTTAATTCGACAGTTGCCGACGAGGACGTCGAGAATGTTCTCTCTCGGATTCTATCCGAAGTATTCCGAGCATAGAGCGCACCTCCCATCCGCAAACTGACCACTAACTGGCGATTTTTGAGGAATCCAAAGGTGACTGACGCGCCGCCTAAGCTCTCCAATCGCTCGATATCGATCTATCCACGGATTCAAGGGAGAACACTGTTCTGACCGCCGAATCGGAACATCGAGAGATAATTCGCTCTCACATACAGACATGCACACGCACACATTTGCATGAAAATCGATGTCCAACTATTCTAGCGCGACGCGTTTACGCGCTAATACCAAAGCAGTTAACTTGCTGCTAATATCGTTGATTATCCAAAGTAGATAAGACCTTTTAACTTCAAACTTGAAAATGAGCTTGTAACATTTTTGTTTTCTTGCCTTTCGTTACCTTCATGTTTCGCAGTTAAAATACATGAAAAGAATGGTTTTGCTAAAGTACTTACTTAAAAAGAACACTGGCACTAATTTACATGGGAAATTGGGTCTTAGTGAAATGAGTTAGTTTTCACATATAATACAGCTTTTAAAGTGGTAAATAAAAATGCAATGAGAGAAAAATGTCAAAGTATTACGAAGCAAATGTTATGATATTTTCTTCTTCGATATTTGTTAATTATGAAAAAATTTAATTGTGATGATAAAATATACATTATTGTGAAATATATCTCATTGATTGAAAACAATAAAATAGACTGAAATAAAATAGATGATTTATTTGCTAAAATAAAACTTTATTTGGCCATATTAAATAAAGATTTATATTGAAATAAGTATATTTCTCTCAAATAAATTTTTAAGTATCTTTTTCAGTGTAGACATAAGATTCAATAATGGATAGTTTTTGATGTAAAAAAAAATATTCTCGAAAACACAAGTTTTTTTTTTACTTTTAATACACCATAGCTAAAAAATTATCCATTATTGAGTTATGTGGCAATAATACCTTTGTTCACATCATTATAGTTTTATAATACAATATATATATATATGAAAACTAACTCATTTCATCGGGACCCAATATTTTTTACATAATTAGTGCGGGTAGTTTAAATAGATATGGATCTGAAAATAATTCTGTTGGACTATTAAAATAATTATGTAGAAAATTCAAGCATGATGAGCAATGCTGTAAAAAGTTTTGACATTCTAGTAACCAGCTTGAGCATCCTTCATATTTATTTTGATAATTCAACAAAATTATTTTCAGATACGTATCTAGCTAAATTTTTAAATATTTCAATAAAACCGTTCTTTCCGTGTATCTTTTTAAATTCTTAAACTTTATAATATTTGATTAAATCCATAAATCATTAAAAAAATATGACTGGGACAGCATGTACTTTTATTAAATTTAATCGTGGCACCCATCCATGAGTCACTAAAGAAAATTTAAAATTTAAACTTTCTTTAGAGTGTCTTATGAATAGCCACGATTAAATTTAATAAAAACATGCTGTCCCAAGTTACCTGTAC